TCATGATAGTTTCCGTTTATAAAGTATTTTTCCTAGGCTGCCTTCATTTACTCCACAGAGAAAAGTTAAAATATTACGGATCAATTCAATCAAGCCTACTGATGGGCTCACTCAGTAAATGCCATAACAATATTTTTCAGTATATTTGTCTGACATATGATGGTATGAATTTGATGACAAGAGAATCATGTCACATGATTAAATTACAGTTTTAGTTAAAAGCAGCATTTCTTCATTTAGAGGGAAGCCTAGAGTCACACAGATAGAAAAATGTCTGTAAATAAAAATAGTTAGCTCAAATGATGTGATTTGTACTGATACTAAGAAAAGAAACAGTAAAAATAACAGATGTCAGTGTAATTAAACGTACCAATTATTTATTATCACAGCCATTCATGTATAGCAATGACTCGGAGGGGGGATTTCTAAGGGCTTCTCATTCAGCAGAACAAGATTTATATCTAGACTTACAACATGAGTAATGACATGGTGACAATGATCTATGCATGACATCATTTATCATTGCATATGCATGCATATATCAAATTATACAACAATTCTTCATACACACCCAAAATCAGTAAAAAAAAAGCTCCCTACCAATTATAATTAGTGATGCTGGCACAGTGATAATTTACCCCTTGCCGTGGTGATGTACCCGCTAATCTTGTGCAAAATTTTGGAAACAATAAGATGGATTGATAATCAATTGGTTATTATTATTACAAGATAGGTCAAGTTCTGAATTTATTCTACAGCTTAGTAAACAGAACTGAACCCCCTTGAATTTACTACCATGAAGAAAATTTCATGAATAAATTAAATCTTTGAGGCTAATTTCACAAACAAATCAAAAAATTCAAAAGCTGAGAATGGCTGGCGACACAGCACTGTGGTGAATGTTATGCTATAGAAATGTCCTTTCCAGAAATTAAATGTCCACCAATCACAATCTGTGCCTATTGCCCTACTAGTAATTGGCAGTGAGTGGATTAAAACAAAAGCTGAGATTACTATTTTTTTTTATCTTCATAGGAGGCTCATCTCTAACAAATTGAATAAACTATATGCTTGAAACGGAGGTGTACAAACAATTACCAGTATACAAATCGGTTTGCATTTGCTTTTGTTAGAAACCAGTTACCTTGATCAAAATTGATTTGCAAAGATATAAACTGAATTTATGATTCACAACCAACCAATCATGTCACGGGCATGACCACCACTAGTACATGACCAAAATTCAACTTGTATTGCAGAACTCACAATACTTCAAACAGTATAATTCAAACATGATGAAAAAAACAATAAATATGATGATGAAATGTAAATTCTGCACACATGTCTGATACTATGTTTACAATTATGGTATTTATTATGGCAAAATAGAATCCACCCTTTTGACTATGGTTGTCAGCCTGTTCTATTAATTTTCCCTTCATGACAACATGTCATCCTCTTGAGAATGTGAGGAGTCCCTTACATCAAACCATTTTATATGCAGGCCCAAAAGCTTCATTTTAGCATATGTTGTGCGATCACACATACACCAAACTTGGTACATGTCCAGTTGAATCTTCACTCTTGATCAGAACTAAGATGTTAATTTTTTCTTGTGAAACATGAACGCAAATTAATTATATTTAAAAGTAAATAAACAATTTCACAACTTCCAGGGGAAACAACAAACTTGTCCATTACTGGAGGCTGTTTGCCCAGCACATTCTAAAAATCATATTTTTGATGAATTCAGACAACACCATCAAAAAGAAACCTGTTCATACAGCTTATTCAAATTCTTGGATTATTTCATTGATGCTGGTATTATGATAGAGTGGTGAAATAAATTACACTTTCTCACTATTTTTATTGGATAGTGAATACCCCTGGGTACTTATAAGTGATATATAATCCAGATAGCGCTAATGCAATCAAAAGTTACTGAAGATTATAGTATTTTTGTTGGAGATGAAGCCATACTTCCAAATTAAGATAATATGTATAAAAGAGAGGAATAATCTTGACACAAAAATTAATACATCCCAGACAGTATTTTTGTATGATCTCTGCACTGGCATAGACTTAGGAAAGCATTTCTTACCTTTCAAAACACCGGTCAACGTTGTCTGACATTAATAGCAACATACAAAGTTGCTCTAGTGCAATAAGTTGCATGTCTCGTTCGTCGCCTTGGCCCATTTGTAGCCATTCCAAAAGTGTTTCGGGGTCGACATCGGCCATTTTGAATATTATTCTGTCCCCAACCAGCTGCAAACAATAACAATCCTTTCGTCTGTCTCCCGGCTTCTAATTTCCTTGATTTAGGGAAATCGACAGTCGTTCAGCCTTCCCGTCGCTTTCACTTTTCTGTCACACAACGGCGTTTCTATGTGATAACATCAACTGGTAAGACAATAAAAACAGATGTATCGTGGAAAAATGATTGAAACTACACTAAAAACAGGAAGCGTGACAAACGGTGTAGATAGGGGTCAGCTTGGCATATTCAACAAAGACTGGCTGGCTGCTTCAGCGACGATATTTCTAGGCGAGATTTTCCTCCAACCAACGTATATCGAAGCTCCAACACCTCATAGTCCGTTGCTGGTGGAGCTTTAAACGCCCATTATCGCCCGATGTTCCCAAAATACTAATAAAATTTGATAATATTGTCGAATGTCTGATTGAAACAACAATCAGCTGAGGAAAATATTCCAACAGCGGATATACTGCAGCTAACCCAGCCTCGTTCTCGCCGACGTCTTCCGCTATCCCAGAACTCCTAGCGAAATTCCGAACTGCATTCGGTCGGATGTGATGAAATCACGCGTATTAGTACAGGTTACTTCTGTAAATAAACATATCATTCAACACAGGTACCATGACGTCGTAAGGGACACGTAGCGCCAATGCGAACGAACGGCATCATTATTGATACGCCGGACATGTTTTTTTTGTAAACAATTGGATATGACGATTTTCATTGAACACTATAGTTTTTAGTTTGTTGACCTGCCGTTTCGTCATAATGGGTCCCTATCTACCTTTTTTTTATAATATTTTATTTTTAAATGTAGTTCCAGGCGCATTTTCTCGAGTTTAAAAAGTCACTCTGTAATCCATGTATAGTAATATAACGTTTATCTAAAAACAAAATAGTCCGTTACCAAATTATTTCACATATAAACTTGTAAAGCAAATAAGCAGTCTAATATAAAAAAAAGTCCACAGACTTTCGTGAAACTGTATTGAGCAACTCGATAACACTCCAAAGACCATGGAGTCATACCCGTTAAGAAATCACCTCTCAATAGTGGAAGCAAATTGCTGGAACATTACACCCTGAAAAATCAAGATGCTAAAATTTGCAACGAAAGTGGTGATGTGATTTTGCCTCCTTGTATGACGAACTATCAATCGCTGTTACCATGGCGATGACGGAGTATGCCGCGGAGATGTGCGCGCCCCTTCATACATTAATGGTTTCGTCAGAACAGTCGTCGTCCTGCGTTAGTTATATCGCCCTCATTCATTAGGGTTGTCAAATCCTCAACTTCTGGGATGTGTCTGGCCGTTAACATATAGCGACCATATGGCAAATTCATTTCAGGTGTACAATACCACGGACAATCTTGTGTGAGAAAGAAAAGAAGACAATGTCAACTGGAACAGACGTAAACGGTGAAGTGACAAAGGAACAGTTGAACACGATGGATTCGGAGGCCATGCAGCCGCCGGACTCTGGTGAGAAAGACCAAGAGAAGAAAATGCGAAATGAAAACAACGCACAGTTTATTGTACTTCTAAAGGATAAAGAATCACTGAAGAAACAAATCGAGTCGAAAGACCAGGAACTGGAAGCCGCAAAATGCAATATCTACGATCTTTCAAAGAAAATAGAAAAGCTAGAAGAAGAGGTAACAGTTTTTTTTCTCATGATGCGATATCAAAAAAAGTGACATTATATATTTTGGTATTTACCTATTATATATAGTTTTGTAGTGGTTTATTAAAACATTCGTAATTCCTCGGAAGAAATTAAATTGGTTACATAACAAGGACATTCAAATGCAAGAAGAAAACTAACGCTCAAAACGAACCACATTAAAATAACAATTATCTAAAAAACGACTAACCTAACACATGCTAAGCAACCGTATCCCACTGACAGAAATAACATAAAAACACACAATTATAATTGGATATAAAGTGGTATTTGAAGGATATGGCGATCCCCGTTCACAATTACGTTCTATCGTTAATGTGTGTGTTTTTCTCCTACTACGCGTAAAGGGAAATAGTGTCTGCTTCTCGGTGAAATAGACATTGTCTAAAAACCACAGTTTCCAATATAAGAACACTTGTGTGAAAGACGGAATTTTGATAATCTGGATTGTAACTGCCAAGTAAAATATAAAATAAAGAGCTGTAACAATATCTACACTTACACAAGGGGGTATTGTAATCCATATCGTGCAATTTAAATGTTCTATGAATGTGATACTCACTGACCAACTTCTTTGAGACGGCTAATTGTCATGGCAACTATTGTGAAATGATATACCTAAATCCGATTCTGTGTCATGTATATTTATTGTATAACCAGCGGACAATGAAGGAAAAACACTTCGCGGCTTAAAAGAAATAACTATGGCCTCAGTTCTTAGTTTTGCCACAAATACAATACTCCTCGCTTTACGTTCATTGGCCTTTAAGAAGAATTGGAGAAGTGTTGGTTCGTCCCAGCTGTTTAGTTCCTCTGTCGTTTTGCCCAGTGCTGTTTCACCCCAATGCTGTTTCGTCCCATTAACAGTCGTTTCGCCTAAAATGTTTTTTTTCGTCCCAGTTCACCGATTTTATACATATATTTAGTTTTGACTATACCACCCGTGGACAGGGGAAGTTCCCCGGCAATATCCGGAAAACAAGAATTCAAGACAGGTGTGGTACACACGCAGTTTGATATTACTCATTTAGTAATTTAAAATGGAACTTCCTTGGCCGCAATTAGATAGTAAACTGAATGATTTTGCTATACACCCAATCATGGCGTTAATGTTTGCGTAGTGAGAACATTGGTTTTTAAAGGCTGCCATAATACTATGTAATAAGCGCTCACACTCCGGACAGTTACTTGTAGGTCATTGTCACTATTTTATCATTTGTTGAGTGCATAAAATCGTTTTATTAAACCTCCATGATTAACCTAACTATGAACTAATTTACTAACAAGCAAGAGTGTTAAATCGTTGATACTGAAATTTAAAATTAATATATATCAAATGTATCCAAAAGAATGAAATTTCTCTAGGTTGTCACGCCAATACGGTCAAATTACGACGACAAAACCGACAACTCACGAAAAAAGCATTCGTAACATCTGGTTAGTTGGAATCCAAACAATGACTGAAAAGTTTGTTCTTTCCAGCTGATCATGAGTTGTCAGTTTGTCGTAGCCGGTCGTGTTGATCAGAAACTTGAACTTGAACCTACGCCTATTTTAAACTCTTCTTGTTTGCGTATATTGCCCAATTTGTTAGTGAGATAGGATATGTTTTTAGTATCATTTTATTTATTTATTTATTTATTTATTTATTTATTTATTTATTTATTTATTTATTTATTTATTTATTTATTTATTTATTTATTTATTTATTTATTTATTTATTTATTTATTTATTTATTTATTTATTTATTTATTTATTTATTTATTTATTTATTTATTTACACCGCTTTATACACTTTTTAATTATGGCAAATTAAGTGTCCGGGCATTGTGTTGGCATGCGAGGTTTGAACGAAACACCAGGACAATAAGTTATTTCTGACGAGGTATTAAGAGCACTGTTTTTTGTGACCACAAGATTAAAATCACTTGGGAATGTTCCATTGTTAAATGGTATTGAAATTTGGGAAAATATCACTGCATCTACAATTGAATATACTCACGCTTAATTTTGTAAATCTACCCTCAAGCAAAAAAATAACCACTAAAATGCAGCGATCAGAGGTGAACTTCGTATGCGCAGTTTACGTACAACTAGACTTACTAAAATGGTCTAGTATTGGCTCCGAATTTTAAAACATGAGCGAAAATAGTCTAGTTAAATGTTAAATGCTATATGGCGGTTGGAGAGATTGAATGTTAGGCCGAAGGGGAAGTTAGTGTTGACAATGAAACTAAGTTTATCTCCTTATTTAAACAACCCTATATAGAGGTAATTGATACACAGTAATGGAACACACTTGAAACCGACAAACTTTAGAAAAAAACGTTTCTCGCGTTAGACGAATTGAAGAAGAATACCATTTCCTTCTCCAGTGTGAAATATACGTACTCAATTTCACCAATAATATATGTAATCAACTTGAGTAAATTTATATATTTTGCCCTCAGAAAGAGTGGGAATTATTTAATTTTAAACATTTTTGACCAGTATTTTTGTTAAGTTAATCTTGATTTTCCAGCACCAAGGACTGGTTTCCCAAAGTGCAATTGGCGTAAATTATTATTATTATTATAATCACATAATTTGCTGGATCTGTTTTCAGAAATATAAACGGACTTGTGATTCGATTCTTCCTTCATTGTCTACTTGAACGAATCTATGATACATTTCGCCTCAAATTCGGCATCCTGTGTGCCATGAATAGTGGTCACGGTGAGAGGTCATGTGTAAGTCAACCGCTTTTCTGACGTCTATGATGTGTCACCTCATCCTGTATTTAGAGGGAGCCCCCCCTCGTTTGGCTGGCAAAAATAATGACAAATAATTTGGCAAACCCAGGCCACGTCATGAGGCGATTTAATATCAGTAGCGCGCACCCGTTTACCAAACCAAACAATTCTGGATTCGCCAATGGTTGTAGATTTGTTTGTAAAAAAACAGAGCAGTGCAGAAGGGTAATTAGGCCGACAGGCAATAAATAATAAGGCTATAAATGAACAAAAGTCTAGCCGTCTATTCACATGACATGACAAGGTGGCAGGAGACTCGTATCATGTTTGTGTTAGTATAGGCAGCGTCCGTATTCTCTCACGTGATAAATAACTTATATGTATAATAGAATACTTGTACCGTACTTTGTATTCAATTTTAAAACTAATTCCGCTAGAATTGGTTTGTAATTTTAGGAGTAGCCCTTTCTAACTTGACCATCTGCTTCAGCAATTGCCATTTCAGTATCCATTAGCGTTTAGGGTTCGTGAATTTAAGTCGTTGAAATTAATATCAATCATGTTAAACTGTGAACTATGAATAAAGACGCCGACTACAAAGAACTGACCCACCTGTCGTACAGGCACCACGTGACTGTGCGCAAATTGCCCGATAAACCAAATATTAGACAAACGTCAGATTTCCTGAATTAGAGGATATTACTTTGATCTTTTTGAAACGTATCTGTGTAATTTCTTCCGCTGACATCGTATATTTGCATATGTCTTATCACACTCGATTAATGACATCACATCACATTCCATAAATGGTCATAGCAGGTAATCAACTGAATCTAATTGCACTTTATTTATGGAACTTCCGATGTCACCCGACGTTTGACAACTGTTGCTATTGGTTACTTTAGTGTAACAAATGATAACAACTCAAGTAATGCTATCTTAAATGGTACAACGGTTGATTAATTCCAGTATCAAAACCAGAATAAGACTCATAAATCACCGTGCTTGCCCCAACATCAGTGTATTGTGTAGTCCCCCTAACATGAATTTATTTTCATGCATTTGTCGTCGGATTGTTTTTACCATAATTGCAAAACCAATTCCATCTTTTGAGTTCAAATAATGACATTTTTTAAAATTAAATTACAGCTAAAAGAATACCACTTTTTGAAAAAAGCAGTCGCGGACGTGGACAGGATCACGGGAAATGTTTACGATTCTCAAAGCGGGTATAAGGTAACATTTATAAGAATTATCCATCCAGTACTGCGTGATGCGAGTGATTTTATGAATTCAATATATTTGTATGTTTTTCATTGTTTTTCTATTTACGTTTCATATAATTTTATTTTATTATTTACATTCCAATATAACAATGATATCAGCTTGTAGAGTTTTGGAAAAAGTATCGTTTTGTTGAAACAATTAAGGTAATATTGTTATGTCGACTGATACATCTATATTCTGTTTTGTTCTTTTCTGTTTGAACCAACGCACACAACCCTGGCACAACCCTGGCACCTGGCACAACCCTGGCACAACCCGTTAAACTATTATGATTGGCTTTTATGGTTTTCTTGTAAAATGCTTGCATCCCGCAAGTGTACATCAGCACTCCCCCCCCCCCCATCTGTTTTAAATAGTTCATTTGACATACAATTATTATCGAGACGAGAAAACAAAAATTGCAAAACGGGGTTCCGCATACTGACTGGATAAAACTATTTGGGGATCAGTAACTATTTGTGTTTAAGTAAGTTAGCAGCCATGGTTACTAGGTCGCTGTAGTCTTTGACACACATTTTTTTGCAGTCGAAGAAAAAGACCCCTAGTGTACGACAGAAAGACACGGTAAAACATCCGACAGCGAGACAGAAAATACGAAAACAGACATCCACATCCACGGTTGCTGTTAAAGACACTGCTGTTACTGAGGCGCCCGCACCGGCAGAAAAGGATACATATAAATACTATTCGGTAAGCTGACGAATAAGTGGGGATATTAGCAGCATCCTTATCCTGATGACACCTGTGAGACTGTTTATATTTCGACTGCCAGTATTATCTGACATGGGGGTTGTACGATATTCCCAATAAGTAGCAGTATATCAAGAACTATATCTTAATTCATGTGAGGCATAATCGGGCTTACCACAGACGCCAAAATAAACTGATCAATAAAACCACTATTTTCCTATCTTCAGTCTCTTGGAATCCCTTTGAAGATTCTTAGTGGTGTTTGTTTTGATTTTGAAACTTTCAATCCCAAAAACCGGCGCCAACAATTGTCACCAGGGGTGCTTAGTGGCATAAATCGTATACAAAATACACCTTTTTTCATTTTTTTGTTTTACCCATGTGACTCACTTGTTTTGTTGAGAATGAAAATCCAAATTATAGCTGAATATCATTTGAATTTGTCGTGCATATTCTGAATCACGTTGCAGATGGTGCCCGTGATCGGTTGATTTTGTGGGCTTAATAGTTAAAGGGCGGCAGTCGTCGTGCCGCGTCCTGTTCGTTATGGGACTCATAGCGACGTATACAACGCGTGTAAAATACATTGTTTATTTACATGAAATTCGAACACGCGCTGCGCGACGACCACCGCGCTTTAAGGAATTAATAAAATATTAGTAAAGTCGAAAATAGTTGTCACGGTGTATTATAGGAACGTTCCACACTCGAGCGCAATTATTTATTATGTGGTCACAAGCAATTTAATTCCAAATTCACCCCCATCAAATACAGTCTGTCTTTTCGTTATGCAAGTTTCCAATGAGTGAATTTAAACACAGCTTCTTCTGCAATCTTCCAATGGATATTGTAATGTCCCGAGGGAAATTGATAGGGAGATAACCATTTTAATGATTTGACGCCCTCTGTAGTTATCACAGTATATCTGAATAAAGACTATTATCAAAATTAAGTGTCTATATCATATACCACCTCCACGCATATTAGTATACTGAGATCGTGGTCTTGTGAGTTGCGCCCTCATCGACCTTGAAATCAAACCAGCTTCAGCAATTGTTCTATTAAATTGTAAAACCCAAACAAACGCGACTTGGAATAATCAATCATAATGGGATTGTTTAGTGTATGTAGTAACCAACTGATTTTTCCCACTCTACAGGAGATCGCAGAACAGTTTCCGAATATTAAACTATCAACGGTGCTCTCAGCAGAAAAGAAGTTCATCGAGGCTGATACTGATAGCAGTGGCGTGAGTTGTTTTTCCATGTAAATTAATTCGTTTCTGTCATGTATTTAATTCCCGATTTATTTGAAAAAAAAAAACGCGGTGTATACAAGTTGACACAACAAAACACGCAATTGTCGTTATTTTGAAACGCGCATGCGCAATTCCGTTTTTTGTAATTTCTAGTCAATAGATGCTGATGAGCTGGAGAGTCTTCTTGACAAGAACGACCTGTTATTCACTAAACAACAAATACGAGACATTCTGAAAGAAGTGGACAGAGATAACTCCAATGATCTCGACTTCTTTGAGTGTCTCGCGGTAAGTAAACTACGAGTTCATGATGTTAGATAGCGCCTGTGAAACTTTCGAATTAGGTACTTGCTGCCCACTTCGCTGGTTCCCGGCATCCCTTGCGAATGGCTTGGTATGCCATGACACTTGAGGCGGGAACCAGCGAAGCTGCCCACAGCACATCATCCTGGATGTTTCGAACTGTTGTCGTATATATTATTGATTTGTGATAGGATAATGACACCGTCGACACAAACTGGCGAGAATTACGGCATTACAAAGTGTTCCCATCAGTAAATTTATTTATTTATTTATTGTTCCCGGTTAGGTTATTGAAAAGTTACAGACTCGACGAAAAACCAACTTACCGCCATCTATACAGAATGCCCAATCCAGCAAGAGCGCCGTGTGTACACTTCAGTAATCAGTGTACCCTGCCAAGCCACAGATGTACATCGTTTCCAATTGATATACTTTAACTTGATTAATCAAGATTGGTCAGGACTGCACAGAAAACAAGTCGTTAATCTGTATATGAATATAATTTGTAGAAAGGAAATCGTGCGATGAAATTGTCATTTATGTTCACACATGTATATATTTTCCCCCGTTCATCCGTTCAAAACAGACAATTGTATCACAATATAAAAATGAAATAAAAATACTTCAAACAACGTTTATTGTAACTAATAAAGGTAGCGAACGTACACAAAAATAAGTACATTATATTTGTACATCCTTTATAAATTGCGCCCTCTGGCGGTAAGCGCTTCTGTGAGATAAATGATGCCAAATATGTGAAGGGCGATAGTCTATTGCATCGATACCGTTTTGATCAGTAATCGTCCCTCAGTAAAAAAAACTACAGTTTTAGATAGATATATTTGGACTGGCGAACGACTACACAAACAAACAAGCTTCCAATTTGAACGACAATGCTTTCAACCATCGGCCAATTATAAAAGAATAAATGGTATATTTCTAAATGGTGTTTATTTCAGTTACGATTCATAAACATACAAAGCTGCACTAACCTATACTACGTATGCAGAACACTAGTGTGGTAGAGATATGAATGTAACTACGAGATATTTTTGGAATTAATTATCGATAGCTATTTGATTCTCTGCGAAATACTATAGCACGGGTTCCGCGTTGTACTTTTATATTGGTATAGCACCGGAAATCACACGTGACTGCTGCATGACATTTAATAACGCCATGGTGATATATTTGTCAATGAGGCGCAGTCACGTGACCATGTCCTCTCAAAATATACTTCATATCACAAGGCACTGATAAACCTTGAATAAATCACACTTGCATTTAAGAATTTCCATATTATTTGAGTAAAAAAAAATACAACTTGGTTGTAATTATAAAATATATCAACTTGGTTGTATCTATATAGACTATCCCATTGATCTAAACCATCATCAACAGTGGACACTTTATACACCACCCCGGCTCCATAAAATACTCTTGATTAAAATAAACTCATAAAATAACATAATATAAAATCTAAAACTAGTTTTCGTGGTGAAATTGTGACTGGCAAGTTACATATTAGATTAGAGTTATGTTAGGTACACCAGTAAAAAGTAGGTGATTTGTAACGTAAGAAGGCTGCCAATCTTAGGGTGCACCATGGAATCATTCGATGGCATTGATTACACCGTCTTAATCTGTCTTCTGTTTTCCATTGTATTTTCTGAATAACTCTGTTTTATCATAGACCTTAGAAAAAGATAAGGTCTATGGTTTTATATGTCTATCGACGCGCATATCTTTTGGTTGTGACTGAAGTGTGATTCGAAAAGCTGGAAAAGTGGCAAAAAACAAAAATTATAAAAAAAATAGATAAAATAAATGTAACCTATGCCTACACCGTATTTTAAACAGATTCATGCGCAATATTCCTTGCACAGTGTTATCGCAAACTTGAACTCGGCACATAAGCGCTGCAGACTAATCCAATAATATCGTAGCGGTTCCTCGACATTCTCCTGCCACCGCCACCAACAGTGAGGGCGTCGTCAAATCAATTTTAACCCACTCTGTCATGAGCTATAGGACGTCGGCGTTGCGACGAACCGATAAGTTCACAGGACCATCCTGTATATGTTTTCGACACTCTATAACATGAAAATTCCAAATGATCTGCAATTGTTCCTCTTCACCTCGCAGTCTTCGGACTTGTTCCTGAAGTTCTCCATTCATTTCGGTCAGTCTTCTTATTTCCTACAAATGCAAGACAGAAAAAATGCATGTTTATTCAGTTATTTCCGAAGAACGTCGTAATTTATTATTTTTTCGTTAGTGAAAAAAAATGTTCTTTCAATATCGCTACTAAATATTTAAGACACATTTCTTAGAAAGCCCGATTTAAACAAGACACAACTATTTACCGGTCATCGTGGTATATATAATGTTTTTCCGTTAAATCGCACCCTAAATGACGCTGTACAAAGATTTGCCATTTCTAAACAAGGAACAGCTTCACAACCAAAGTTCTCTCTCTCTCTCTTTCTCTGAGCACCATCTACGTCATTTTGACGTCACAGAGATGTAAGAAGATACAAACATAAGACACTTATTTGAAAGGTGTCTTGAACAACTTAATTTATTTGGAATCGTACCAAATCGGCTCATCGTCTAGAACCAGTTATAACCATCAACAGTCCAGAGTTTGTAAATTTTCTTATTTATTTTCACAGTATTTGCAATGAAATACAAACAAAATGAATTTTCTCGGGCATTAATAAAATATAATGGTCATGTGGTGTACGGGCTTTAATTATTTTTGCTGTACTTATGTTTATTTTTATTACTTTTGTTATTAATGCCTTTTTATTTTATTATCTTACTTTTATTTTGTGATTTTTCTTTAATTCCGCCCTACATACATCAGATCCTTGTTGGCTTTCGCAATTACCAAAACTTCAAAAAATAAATACTAGATCAAAATAAAATAAAATAAAATAAATATACAAATAAAAAAGTCAAAACTATGATCTTATTTTAATCAGATTAGGTCATGTAGTACATATACGTGTTTGTGGCACGCGGTAACATGCGAGCAGCCAATCAAAAACGGTGTACCCGAGTAGACCAACATTCACTACAGTCACGACATGACACTGATTGCACTGAAAAAAATACTGACCTAACGACCCAGTTTACTTGTTAATACATGTTGGATTGGTTGGCGACGGCGCGTAGCTATGGTGACCTAATTTTATATTAGGGACGGGCACAAAATTAGGCGTAACACATGTTGACCACTCCGCCATTACGTTCATTTGGAATATTTGAAGCAATTGAGAACCAATAATTGACTCTTATCCTTGGTAAATTTTATAATAATATACATATGTATTAAGCATAAACAAAACAGCATATCACGGGTTTAACACCACGCAGGTCGGTATACCCAACATAAACTAATTACACGCAGATACTTTAAATACAATTGGCTGGGACATTCGAATACAGTTTAGGGTTCTCACTAACTTATAAACCCATTATCATGCTCGTCCGTAATGGTGGTTTTCAGGCCTTGTTATGTGTTCACACTGTTTTTTTTACTGTGGTTCACACCTGTTTTATATCAATGAAGAGGAGGAAATTATCCCATTCCATTGGTGTAATTTGCCCCCTCCCCTCCCCCTCTTAGATTACCTCTCCAGGGACACACTTACAAAAGATGTGTATACGCATGAAACAATAGTATAGTGTGTAAATGTGACAGATAGATGGTAACAACATGTTTCTTGTGTGATGTAATATTTATTGACATCGTATCCTCCGAGGGACTAGTGTGGTACACTACAGTCAATTGTTTTAAAGACTCTATGTGACACTGTTGATATTATCTGGTTTCAACCTGACGACACAAGTTGACTATAATGACTTGTTGAACATAACGATAAATCAGCGATTTGCTGAGTACTTATACTTACTTGCTGTAACTCACATGATATGATCATAAAACCAAATGACTCAGTACCATAAATGGCACGAAAACCGCTTGAAACACGCAAATTGGTTAAAGTTCATTGACCTTTACATCGACATCCACCAGATACAATCTGGTATTCGCCAGACACAGTGCCCGCACTTCATTATTCTCGGCACCGTGCAGCCGCCATTTTAGAGGTGGGGTGTATTCTAGGTAACATACAACTATTCCGGAAGAGAGAAGAAAATTATTCGCACTATAATGCTCCCAACGCCGCAGGGGTATCCTGAAACTCACCTTCATTAAAAACTCCATTCTATCTTTCTTCTTGTTTCGACATTTCGTTGCAGCTATTCTGTTCCTCTGTCGTCTTTCACTGATCCGCTTCTCCTCATCCATACCGGCCTGTCTCGTGGGGGAGAGGGGGGGGGGTCAATACAGTAAACCGTAATTCAGAAACGTTTCGGTTAACCCAACACGTATTTACATTCAAACATGGCGGAGACGCCTCCACAGTACTGTACATATATTTGGGTGCAGTATCTTTGACACAAGTATGGCGTGTTATTCGGGTGACTCACACACAACAAAATCCGTGATCGCTCCGACGAGCAAAGAGTTCCGCAAACGACTAAGACGACTAGCGACGACAACTAGCAGGAACTGGTAAACATGATGACCCTGGAAAGGTCACCAGGACAATAGTCAGTATGCGGTCTATAAATAAATGCGGAAACGTATATACATATGTTTACGCGCAATGTGTCAACGTGCTTATCAATTGATTGAAAACAATCACGAGTAAGAGGGCGAATTTGTTTTCTGTTTTCCTGGAAATCAACATCGTTGAACCTGACGTGGCCTACATACCTATATATAGGCAAAATTAATTGGCAATGGCCATACCAGACACACATTTTGAAAGAGCGGATGGAATTAAAAAGTTTTAAAATGATTCTATAAAGGATACATGTATTAGGCAACAATGACATGTTGACATTATTTTGACAATTATAAACGATCAAACTTACAAAGAAAAATGTGATTTCTAATTTAGACCATGGAGGTAAAACATATTTGTTTACCTCTATGGTTGAGCATTCACAACTCAATCACAGATAACCGGTCAACATATGACGTCATATCAAGTGCTAACGTATATCTATTTGTGAAAAAGACGATATTTTATCTCAAGGTCACGTCAAAGAGTTTCAGAATCCTTCATGGATTTGTTGAATTCGTAAACAGTATTTATCTTAGTTTATATCTGTACACTATATTCTACAATGAAATTGAACGCCAATGTCACATTTTTCGTACGTGTTGGTAACGACCGCCACGTCCTCGCTGTAAAGGTACCGTTATGCTCTCACGATGACGCAGCTGCCTCTAATTCTACCAAGAACCACTATTGTGAATTTTGGAGTGCATTCCGTGAAATAAAACTAATTTTTTTGCACCCGCAGGCGTACTACAAAGGGGAAATCCCGTTTTCCACGGTCTGCAAGGACCAGCTTTGTTCCGTCCGATTTGCGTCCGTGAATACGAGAGGAAACAAACACCAGATAGTTGTCACTAACGCTGTTAGTCACGAAGAAACCTTTATTTAAAAAACACTTCATTTACTGAGTAACAACACAGCAAGTTGGCGTTATATAAGAAGATAATTAAATAGACAATGTTAAAATAGCAAAATACATCACGTCTTCTTCTTTTACCTATATAAGGCGAGACACACTTTCGAAAAATGACCCTCGTTTATTAGTACGAGTTCCTGTGTATATTTTGACATTTCGTGGAAAACAAATCTTTATCAGATTGATGAGAGCTTAGCTCCTCTATCACGTGATAGAGGGACTGTAATGGGGGCTAGACTTGAAAGAAACTGTTTAAAGTATAAAAATAATGAATGCCATCATGAAACTTAATATTATTAGAAGACCTGCAAATACGGCCAATAAAAACATTTCAGTTACCACGACTCTATTCCACGGTACACGTAAAAGTGGTCCGTGTCTTGCACCGGGACTAGGTATATTTACAGCAAGTCTCAGAAGTATTGGGGCAGCCAATTTGCAAACTCGCTAGCTTTGGTTTTGACTGAACGGCTGACTTTCGAATCTCGCTGGCGTCGTCCTGTGGTCACACCCACTCTGGGTGAATCTATATTACAGTAGGGGTTGGCCGATTTTCTCCCTGATTTGTAGGAATCTGTTTCTCAACTTGTCTCTTTATTTAGTTTCAATCAGTGGTCAAGATGGCTACCCCCATATAGTAAATATCGGTGGAGTAATCGCATTTATCATATTATCACTTGTACGCCAGCTGACTCTGGCCATTCCCAGGCCTCGCAACTTTGAAAGCAAACTATTCAGGGGAATCCAGACATGTTCCAGGCTACGTAAAAGCATACTATGTTCCCTAATGCGATATAGACTCGCGAGTGGACGCGACCACGAGTCGACGCCAGCGAAATTCGAAAGCCAACTGTTTAGTCACAATCCAAGCAGTTAGCCAATTCGCTAGCGAGTTTGCAAATTGGCTGCCCCAATACTGCTGAGACTTGCTGTAAACACTGATGTGCAATCGACACAGTCGAAATACAACATACCTCGCTGTCACCCATTTTTTTCTTTCGTCTGTGTAATCGCCAAGAATTTTAATTTCAATGTAAAAATTGTTTGTAATGCAAGTCAAGATAACATGTGTGAACATTGTGTATGTGCGTGGAAACACTTGTCATACTCTAGTATTGGTAAATTTTGCCCTCGCACGTGGTTTTTGTTAATAATAAATATTTTTATTGCATCTAAATACATAAAACTATAAATAAATATGATAAATATCAATTCAAAATTGTCGTCCGATTATAAAAAAATAGGCTTTTATTATTTATGAATTTATTAAAAACATACTACTAATATAACTAAATTGTAGAGATATCACTGGGTTGAAATTGGTTTTAAAGTGACTTGAAATGGGACAAAAATGAGCCGCTTTCAAAAATCCTGTTGTCCGTATTCTTGCTACGAGCCTAGTCCCGGTTGCTAGGGACACAGCGTCCATCTAATTCTCCTACCAGTGTTGTCCATATTTTCTAATAATTATGGAGCGCTTTCACGACATAATGAATAAAAGGCATATGTGGTAAGAATCGTTAAAAGGTAAATGAAAATCTAATTATCACACATCTTTGAATATCGCTGATAGTAATTTGTAAATAGAACTAGACAGAGAAGAAGAAATGTAGAAAATACATTCCAAGTGCAATGATAACACGTGTCACACCGTGTTGTACTTAGCATGAACTAAATCAGCGCATCGGTGTGTCAAGCGTCAACATCTGATTACACATGTGAACAGTATCCATACGGTGAACTCCGAGATGAAACGCGTCTAGTTTCATTTTGACTGCAAATGTCAGTGTGTGTTGGTTGATCATCACTGTACTGAGCACAATTCAACGACCCCGTCAGCTGCCGTTCTGCTGTCTGAAACCCCGTGAATGTACCTGTTACCTGCACTGGCGGGCGACTTTGATTCTGCTCCGGCAGACGACACGGTGTTGTTATTCCTATCCTGCATTGTAATTTGTGCACATTCAGTGATAGCGCCAGTTCTTCTTTTTCGTCGTTAAGTTCTCTGATTTGACGTTTGAGCGTTTCGTTTTGATATTCCAACTTTTGCGTTTCCTGGAGTAGAAAACGTAAAGCCTGGTAAACGATGTCTACTCTTAGACACACTGTGAAGTTGGCAGAATGTTCATTAAAAGCATCAAATATCGAATTGTTGGTCTTCTTGAAATCCTGGTCACAAACTCATTGGATATACTAGTATACATAGATTTAAGCTAAACTATAGGTCCGTGACACAGA